CTGGCATGCATGAAGCCCTGGGTTTGATTCCTCAGTACCACATACACAGAAAAAGCTGCAAGTAGTGCTGTGGCTCAATTGGTAGAGTGCTAGCCATGAGCAAAAGAAACTCAGGGACAGTGCCCAGACCCTGAGTTTAAGCCCCAGGACTGCAAAAATCAAATGAGCAACAACAACAACAACAACAAAAAACACCCTTAATGTCCTAATGACTTTCAATAAAACTTAAACTCATGAGCATTATATGATTCCTTCTCATTGTCTCTATAGAAATATAGTTTCCATTTCCTTGAAAGGCCAAGTGTTAAAGAGATCAATCAAAACAAATGCCAGCACTTTAAAATATACTATATAGATATAGATACAGTATTTTTGCAATGCATATAGCTCTTTTATTTTGGTCTCTCCATTTCTTTTTAATACTGAACATTCTTCTCTCTCTCATTTTGTTTCGTGTGTGGTAGGGTACAAGGAATGGAGCCAAGAGCCTCTACATGCTAGGTAAGTATTCTATCCCCCAGGCTCTTGAGGATAGTTTTTTAAATTTTTATTATTAGTTTTTTATTGTTATTATAAAGGTGATGTATAGAGGGGCTGGGGATAGTTTATTTTTTATTTTTTTCTTAATTTTTCTCTTGGTTGTGGGGCCTGAACTCTGGGCCTGGGCGCTGTCCCTCAGCTCTTCAACTCAAGGCTAGCACTCTACCACTTGAGCCACAGTGCCACTTCCAGCTTTTCTTCTTATGTGGTGCTGAGGAACTGAACCCAGGGCCTCATGCATGCAAGGAAAGCACTCTACCACTGAGCCACCTTCCCAGCCCCGAGGATAGTTTTTCAAGTGTCTGCTTTTTGCTAGAGCTGTCATTCTGACAATCTGTAGTATATTCAAAGCCTGCTTTCAATATGCCTGAATGACATGGGTAGAAAGTATGATCATTTTTCAAATAGTTCAGTGTTTGCCAGAAATGCAGACATCTATAGCAAATGCAGAAACTGGCCAAACTCCTCTAAGGACTAAAATCAAGGTTAGCACAGAAAGAGTATTGGGTAATCAAATCAAACAATAAATTCTTTGTTCTATGAAACGTAAATACCCCTTTTCACTGCCTACAACCCTAATAATATGCAACAAACATGAAATTCAAGTCTTGATAAAGTGATACTCTTGAATGATTTAAAGGTTAGGATCTTTTCTTTTTCTGAAAATACTTTGAGGTAGACAACTCAAACTAATGTGGTTAATTTAACTCTTACTGACCTGTTTAGAGGAAGCTCAGCCGTCACTTGAAACCTGCTTTAAGCCTCCCCAGTGCTACATTTAACCCTCAAGAGGTTACTCAGCGGCCGGCCAGGAGCTGGTGGTTCATGCCTGTAATACTAGCTAACTCCAGAGGCTGAGATCTGAGGATCCCAATTCAAACCCAGCCTGAGGCAGATAAATGTGAGATATTTATCTTCATATCTTCAATTAATCAACAAAAACCTGGAAGTAGAGGTATGGCTCAAATGGTATGGTGTCGGCCTTAAGCAAAATAGCTACAGGACTGAGCTTAGGTCCTGTCAAGACCCAGCACTGGTGGCCGCGTCACACACACACACACACACACATACACACACACACACACACACACACACACCTGAGGTTACTCTGTAATACCTAACTCCATATTATTAATTATGCTATTGTTTTTGGTATATTTGACTGTCCATTGTTAGCTCTTTATTCTAAATGCAGGTATGCCTGGTGTCTAATAAAGTGTTCAAAATATGTGTGGCTCAAGTGGAATAGTGCTAGCCTTACGCACAAAAGTTCAGGGACAGCACCCAGGCCCTGAGTTCAAGTCCCAGGACAATCTCCCCCCCCCTCCCCCCCAAATAGTAGTTTTTACTTGATTGCTAAAGACACAGGGCTGGGAAGGTGGGTTAGTGGTAGAGTGCTAACCCTAACATAAATTAAGCCCAGGATTTGATTCCTCAGTGTCACATAAACAGAAAAAGCTGGAAGTGGTGCTGTGGCTCAAGTGGTAGAGTGCTAGCTTTGAGCAAATGAAGTTCAGGGACAGTGTCCAGGCCCTGAGTTCAAGCCATAGGACTGACAGAAAAAAGAAAAAAAAAGTTAATACACATCTAAATACAGTTGGGGATGTCACTTAGTGGTAGAAATCTTGCATGACGCCTGGGTTTCACCCCCAGCACTGGAGCCATTATATTCACAACCCTTAGTGAGCCTTGAGATAATTCCTCTACCCAATGAGGAGCTGCTGTTCTTGTGGCCTTTACCCTATAGTCAAGCACAGTGCACGGGCACAAGTCTTAACAGAGATAATACTTCCCAGAGCAAAGGTGAGAACACTGTGTGTAGACAGGACAAGGGGTGCCCCTTAAAGGCTTAGAAATATCAACAAGTGATAGCCTTTGAAGACTGAAAATATAAGTCCAACAAAGGATCCCAACAGAGATAAGTGAAAGGCTTTCCAAAGCCTGGGGGGGGGGGGGGGGTAAGGCTTTACTGTCACTTCTCCAAAGATATCTGAGATAAAAATCTCCAGAAAGAACAGGTCAAGCAAAACATCTGATTGGTTGGTTCTCCTGTAGGGAAAAAAAAGAAGAAGAAAGAATCTGACACAAAATATACTTTCACCCAGCTTTGGAAGTGGCTTGTTGCTACATTCTATTGGGAAGTAAATCACTAAATCTGGCTCTCTTTCAAGAGAAGGGAAATCAGACTCTACCTTTGGAAGGGAAAATTTTGTGGATAGATTGAAAAACCACCAGAGCTTACTTTAGAGATGTTTATAAGATGTCCTAACCCAGGCCCTGGGTTCAATATCTAATACCACAAACAGCAAATAAACAAAATGCCACATGTAAGAAACAGATTTCTAAATTTCATTTTCTCACAGAACCAGAAATGGGTTTGTTTCTCTTGAGCAACCAGTTTTTATTTTGTAATGCTGTGAATCAACATAATTGTATTTTCCTCTTTACTTCGTTGCTCAAAATAAAAATTTGACTACCGTGTGTGTGTGTGTGTGTGTGTGTGTGTGTGTGTGTGTGTGTGTGTGTGTGTACTGGGACTTGAACTCAGGACTTCATAGTCTCGAAGGGCTCTTAATGGGCTTTATCCACTTGAAGCTGGTACTAGGTACTATACCAATCACGTCTCCAATATAGTTTTTGCTGGTTATTTTGGAGATGGAGTTCTCCAGACTTTTCTTTTCTTTCTTTCTTTTTTTTTTTTTTTTGCTGGTCATGGGGCCTGAACTCTGGGCCTGAGTGTTGTCCCTCAGCTCTTCAGCTCAAGGCTAGTGCTCTACCACTGGAGCTACAGCTCCACTTCGGCTTTTTCTGCTTATGTGGTGCTGAGGAATCAAACCCAGGGCCTCATACATGCGTGGCAAGCGCTCTACCACTGAGCCACCTTTCCAGCCCTCCCCAGACTTTTCTGCTTGCACTGGTTTCAAACTCCCTCCCCCCTCTACTCCTCAGTATCTAGGATTGCAGAAGTGAGCCACCAGTAATGGGGCAAGATAAACTATTTTTTCATCTATCTATCTATCTATTCTTAAACAACTCACACAATCATGAAGTAAAAATACTCCCAATTCATCATCCAGGAAAAATATTATTAATATTTTAAGGGATAATCTTCTAAAGTTCTCACGCTATTATTCTACAAAGATTAAATTTTTTTCTCAGTCAATTTTTAAAGTGCTTGTAATTTTAGCAGCTACCTGATTCTCTACTGTACTATAATTAACTATGGTGCATTTTGTCTCTATTCTCTGGAGAATTGCACTACTGAACTGATACATTTATTTTACATGTTGCTGGGACCTTTTTCCTTCACAAAAATGAGATGTGGTGGCTAAGGCCATCCTTTCTCTGGAATCTGGGTATGGGTTCATTATCAACTGCCATCTATGTCTCAAACTATGCTTTTGTGTTGAAATCACAAGGCTGGATTGAGGTGTTTGGTTCTGTCTTGTGAAACAAAATGATGATACCTTTTTCAAATTTCCAAAATAATTAAAATTAGTAGATGGAATGTCTTCTATACTGAAATTTTAATCTCGTGAACGCTATTGAAATTTTGGCGTCTGCTATCACTGTTCTGTATTCAAAAGTAATAAAACATGCTAAAGGATCTGAACAAATGTTCATTACAAATCTTTTAAAACCCTATGAATTTCGTGACAGTGTGCTTTTCAGAAGCTTGGCCGTTGGTGATCTGGTTATCAGAAGGAAATAGGGAATATTTCCAAGGACCCCTCCCCCACATCATATCGAGAAAAATAACTTTCGACAAATCAAGTTTGACGATTTTACCTAATGATACGAATGAAGGAGAAGGCAGGATACATTCATCCAATAAATCTAAGTGTGGAGAAACAGTTCAACGCAGGTGAGTAGCAAGCAGTCCTACACTTTAGAGGAGCTTCGGACAGGTAAGTGCAGTGGGAATTCTGGTGGAGTCCTTGAACTTGGGTAAGTGTCAGAGTCCAAGGCGCACATTGAAAGCCATTACATCTCCCACCTTGAAAATAGCGAAGTACTGCCCCTCTATGCCCAAACCATTCGCGCTCAATTCCAAAGAACAACCACCAAAACAAGAACACGTCAAAGTGCCCCTGATTCTGTTCCTTCTCGAACACTGGAATGTTTTAAAACTTTTCCGGTAGGGATAATATTGACTCTCTTTCGGTACAGAGACATCAACTTCCGAAACTACAAATCCCAGTAGGCTGCGCGCGCAGTAGAGTGGGAACTTCACTGCTCATAATGTAGCTTAACACTCGAATCCCCCCCAATCCGGGCCTGTAAGCGGTCGTCGTGCAGCCTTCTGGGACTTGTAGTTCGCTCCCAAGTCCCTCTCTCGGTTAGCGCAGACTCGTGGGGCCTCGGTCTGCCCTTCGGCCCTAGAAGAAGCCCAACCCAGCATTCAGTGCTCCCCACCCCCATCTCGCGGTTTTCCCTTGGGGGCAAACCTCCTCCTGTCACGTGGAAAAACTCCCATGCTGTGATTGGCTGTGGTAATCAGGGGCGGAGCGCAAGGCCCTGCGAGGTTCCTTGCCCCTGGTCGGGCCGCTTGTTTGGCTGCTGCCGTCACCTCATGGCGACGCGGGTTGAGGAGGCAGCGCGGGGAAGAGGCGGCGGCGCTGAGGCGGCTGTCGAGGCCGGACGGGGGGGACGGCGACGCAGCCCTCGGCAGAAGGTCGGTCAGAGGGACTCCTTCATGTTGTTGAATCGGGAGTATACACGGGTTACCTTTTTTCGGGGTCCACCTCTTCACTCTCCCTGGTTACCTTTAGCCATGGGACGAACATCCGGCCCTTTTCCCTCCCGGGGGGTGACGACAGTGGGAGCAGGTGGGGGGGGGATGCGACTGGGATGGATGGGATGGGTAGGGATGATGGTTGGGGCTTGGGGATGCAAGGCACTTGGGGGGGGTGTTGAAGGAGAGCAGTATACACCGCGACTGAGGGGGTAGGTGTGCAAAGCGGGGGCGCGCCAGGTGTGACAGCCACGTGCGGCCGGCCGGCGCCGCGGGGCCCCGGACGCCAGGTGTTCTCCTCTCTCTCTCTCTCTCCCTCGCTCCTAGCCCCTGCGGTCATGATGCTCCGGGCGCTGGACGCCGCTGTCTGGGGCTCCCTGAGGTTATAGGTTCGCCCACTTTGCATCCGGCAGGTGCGCAGGGTGCGCTGCGGGTTGCACCCGGGTTGTTGAGGCGAGGCTGTTGCGCAGTAAGATAACAGAGCGGGAGCCGGGGCTGCGCTGCGCCCCCCTCCCCCCGCCCCTCTCCGCTCCCCGCCACTGCGCGGGCGGACGGGCGGTGAACGCTGCGGGACTGAGTGGGGAGTGGCGGGGTGGGGGGGGCGCTTGGCCCTTAGGACCTAGGCCCCCGGGGTTCGTTCGTCTCTGGGCACTTTGGGCCTTGGTTACACGTGTGGTCGGGGTAGGGGAGGGGATGCTGAAGAATCTCGTGACCCCCCCCCCCCCGCCCCCCAGTCAGGAGCAGCAGCATCTAATAGCCTTCCCAGTCCTCCAACTCCTCACCTTTTCTTTTCTTTTCTCTTTTCTTTTCCTTTTCTCCTTTTTAATTTGGTAAGGGAAACTTGAGCGCCTCCCCGACTTGGCCTTTGGTCTTTCTTCATCTGGGAGGCAGGCTGGACGGTTCCCCTTGCCTTACTTGACTCTTGTCAAGGAGTTTTCAATGTCTCCCTGGATACAGGAAATCGAGACCTCTTTCAGAACGGGAGAATTCCACTTGTTCTGGAGCTCAGTGGGTGGAGTTTGAGAAAGATTGCACAAGGAATGGGGTACTGGGCTTTTGGAAAGCGCTGGGACAGAGAACTGTGGGGAATGGGGCTGAGAGGTAGAATCCCCGTCCCTTTTTCTTGCAGGTGAACATTTGTTAAGATGTCTTACTTGATCACTCAGGGCTATTTCATATTACTTAATTATGTATTTGGCTAATCTTAAAAATAATTCCTGTATGAAATTACGAAATAATATTTTTCCTAATGCGATTCATGAACTTCAAAAGGGAACAAAGGTCTGGTTTACGTTTGAGCAAAGTGTCAAGAATTGGCTTTTGGGGCCAGGCGTGTTTCTACGGTCAGGTATTTTCATGTCTCTGCATGAGAAGTTGGTACTACTCAATTATCTCCCTCTCCTCACTCTCCCCTCTTCCTTCTTCCCCCACTCCTTTCCTCCTTCTTCCCTCTCTCTCCTAAAAGAAAGATCTAGTACTTGTACAACTCAAAAAGCCAGGGACCAAATGTACTTTAGGGATTCAACACTGTCATTCTGGACACTTGACTATTCCCTAAGGGTAGAAAGCCAATCTCTGTGTTTGATTTCATAGGTTCCCCAGGGGAGAACTCAGATAAAAGGCTATTGCAATTGAGGACATAAGTTCCCTTTTATGCCAGTGGGATAAGGACAGAAAGTCATTGAATTAGGAACTGAGGTTTAATCAAGTAGTATTTTAAACTACCCCATAAGAGGTAATGACCCTTGGAGGTACAGAGCTTTTTTAGTATCTAGATATGAATAGTCATATGTATCTGTTGTCTTGTCTGCTTTAATTACCTTGTACTCCTTTTTTATTTTCTTATACTTCTTTGAGACTATTTTTCCTTTTGATTTCAACCGACTTTGATATGAAATTGAAATGCACAGCTAAATACCAGTTTTTGAATTTTCACTAAAAAATAGAGCATCGTATCTGCAGAAATAATTTTTGAGTTATTCTTTATGACCTCCACCTCCCCCCCCCCCACACACACACACATGGAGCTTGAACTCAGGGGCATGGGGACTAGAACTAGCTGGGTTTGCTTGCTCACCTGGCTGTCTCCCACTTGAGCCATGACACCAGCCCAGCTTTTTGCTGGTTATTTTGGAGATGGAGTCTCCCAAACTTGTCTGCTGGGCTGGTTTCAAACCTCTGATCTTCCAGTTCTCAGCTTCCTTGAGTAGCTAAGATTACAGGCATGAGCCACCTGTGCCCTGGAGATCCTTATTATAATTTCCTCCCAGTCACTAACTTGAGAAAATATTCCTATTCGTAACTTCTACTCTTTGTTTTTCAGGAAGCAGAAATAAAATTTAGCAAATTAGGGTTTTGAAATATTGAAGGAATTAAAAGTGACAATCATTGTTTGGTTCCATTATGGAACTTAAAAGTGAGGAAAATTGGAGATGGGCTTTTTTTTTTTTTTTTGGTTGGTTGTGGGGCTTGAACTCTGGGCTTGGGCACTGTCCCTGCACCCTGCACTCTTCAGCTCAAGGCAAGCACTCTACTGCTTGAGCCACAGCGCCACTTCCGGTTTTCTAGTGGTTTATTGGCAATAAGAGTCTCACAGACTTTCCTGCCCAGCGGCTGGCTTTGAACCGCAATCCTCAGATCTCAGCCTCCTGAGTAGCTAGGATTATAGGCATTAGCCACTGGCCCCTGGCGAGATGGGCTTTCTTGGTTCTCATTTGAATCATTTTTGGTTGTTTTGAGACAGAGCCTCACTTGGATTCTGTGGTCTCAGCCGCCTGAATGCTGGGATTACTGGAATTACAAGCCTATATCACCACACCTTGCTTTTTTGAAACAGGTTCTCTCCATGTTGCCCAAGCTGGCCTTGAACTCCTAGGCTCACTTCCCTAGTCACTCTTGATCTGCTCAATTAACTGGCTTCATTTCATAACTACATCCAATTGAATGGTCTCTTAAGGTAACTTTTTTTTTCCTGAAGGTAATATTACAGTACATTTTTTAGAGGTCTCTTGAGGGATTTCTACAACTGTGCTGATATAGTAGCTATGAGCTACATGTAGCTAAGTTGGTTAAAGCTAAATAAAAATGAAGAATTCTGTTTGTCAATCCTACTAGCCACAATATCAAGTGTTACAATAGCCAATATGGCTAGGTATCTGTATTAGAGCAGATCTAGAACATTTTCATCATATAGTTATATTGGACAGCATTGTTCTAAAGATAAAAAGATCATTATATTATGAAGAATTTAGGGGAATTTTTGTTTTATTTTATTTTATTTTTTTTGGGTCCGGGCGTGGGGCCTGAACTCTGGGTCTGGGTGCTTCAGCTCAAGGCTAGTGCTCTACCACTTGAGCCACAGCGCCACTTCCGGCTTTTTTCTTTTTGCTTATGTGGTGCTGAGGAATTTAACCCAGGGCCTCATGCATGCAAGGCAAGCACTCTACCACTGAGCCACCTTCCTAGCCCTGGAATTTTTGTTTTAGACAATTAAGCACATTCATATTATTTTCTAAATTCCTGTGTAGAATTTATTTTTGAGTTTAGTTTGTGTGTGTACGTGTGTATGTGTGTACACGTATGTGTGTACATGCGTATGCACTGGTACTAGGGCTTGAACTCAAAGCTAGGGCACTGTCCCTGAGTTTTCTTGTTCAAGGCTAGTGCTCTACCACTTGAGCCACAGCCCCACTACCGGTTTTTTGGTGGTTAATTGGAGATAAAGAGTCTCATTCCCCTAGCTAACTTCAAACTGTGATCTTCAGATGTCTGCTCCCTAAGTAGCCACGATTATAAGTGTGAGCCATTCATGCCCAATTTATAGGTTGAGTTTTAAGAAAACTAGTCCCACATTTTTTATTGATTTTTATGCATGTGCATACATGTGTGTATGCTGGTACTGGGCTTGATCTCAGGTTCTGGGTGCTATCCCTGAGCTTTTGTGCTCAAGGCTAATGCTCTACCACTTGAGCTATAGCTCTACTTTTGTTTTTTTTGGTGGTTAACTGGAGATAAGATAGTCATAGGCTTTCCTGCCCAGACTGACTTTGAACCATAACCATCAAATCTCAGCTTACAAGGGCATTTGGCTATTTATTTATTTATTTAACTTTATTTTTTTTTGCCAGTCCTAGGGCTTGAACTCAGGGCCTGTGCACTGTCCCTGAGCTTCTTTTGCTCAAGGCTATCACTCTACCATTTGAGCTACAGCGCCGGAAGTGGCTTTTGCTGTTGATGTGGTACTGAGGAATCAAACTCAGGCTTCATGCATGCTAGGCAAGCACTCTGCCACTAAGCCACATTCTCAGCCCCTTGGCTTTTTATTTAAGGAAGAAAAAAAACTCCACATTTTTTTTTTTAGCAGTTTTTAGGTTTACAGGCTAATTTAGCAAGAAGTATAGACTGTCCACAAGTCTCCACACATACTCCTTTCTTTTATTTACATCTTGGACTAGCATGATAATTTTGTTGACATTCTCCAAGTAGCATTGATGCCTAAGCACTAAGCCTATAGTTTACAGGGTTACTCTTACGTTATATAATGTATGTATACCTTTTGACAAGTGTATCATAATATGACTTCTACCTAGTCATCCCTCTTTTTCCCTATACTACTGGGCCCCCTAATCTTTTTCTTTGTTTCTTTTTGAGATTAAAGTCTTGAAATGTATACTCTTTTTTTTTTTTTTGGGTCCGGTCATGGGGCCTGAACTCTGGGCCTGGGCGCTGTCCCTCAGCTCTTCAGCTCAAGGCTAGCACTCTACCACTTGAGCTACAGCACCACTTCCGGCTTTTTTTTTCTGCTTATGTGGTGCTGAGGAATCGAACCCAGGGCCACATGCATGAAAGGCAAGCGCTCTACCACTGAGCCACCTTCCCAGCCCGAAATGTATACTCTTAAAATGTAGCCTGCAATATTTCCCTCTCAGCTTCATGAGTAT